AAAAAAAAAAAAAAGAGTTTCATAGACTTTCCTGCCTAGGCTGGCTTTGAACTGTAATCCTCAGATCTCAGCCTACTGAGTAGCCAGAATTATAGGCATGAGTCACCAGCACCCGCCTCAGGAAAGTACTTTTAAAACTTACTTCCAGTTATTCACCAAAAAGTTAAGTAGAGTTATGGCTCACCTGGTAGAATGCTAGTCTTGAGCAAAAAGCTCAGGGACAGTTCCAAGACAGCTCAAGCCCCAGGGCTGGTATGTGTAAGCGTGCACACATGAGCACACATACATGTGCACACCCAGTGTTTTTACAGAGTTTAGGAATTTTCCCTTTAGGTTTTATATATTTGAAATGTTTATCACCATATGGCTAATTAAAAAGTTTTTTTTAACATAATTAAGCTAGATTTGTTAAAATAATCATTGTTACTAACCTTATATTGTAAAGTATAATAAACATTTACCAATATCACTACTTTAAAAAAAAGTCTTTTTTAAAGTTACCTGGATTTTATCATGTCATTTGTGGAATTGGGAAAGATGGGGGAGAATGATGTAAAGGGTAACATTGATCAAGGTGCAACGTACTCATAATCTGACTTAAATTGAAATTTCGTTTTACAACTATGTAAAGTTACAAGAAAAAGTTGAAATTATTTATTTATTTGTTTGTTTGTTTATGCTATTATCAGGACTTGGGCTTTCTTGCTTATAGTTAGTACTCTACCACTTAAGCCATGCCTGCAGTTCATGTTTGCTGGTTAATTGGACATGGAGTCTCACAGAATTTTTCAGCCTAGGCTGGCTTGAAGCTTCACTCCTCTAGATCTCTACCTACTCTTTAGTAGGTAGGATTGTAAGTGTGAGCCACTGGTGCCTTATGGTAATCTCTAATATTTGAGCATAGAGCAAGGAAACTTCTCCATAAAACAACACAACTTTGAAATGTGATTGAAGGTTATAAATTATAAAACCTATGTATGGCATGATTTTTTTTTCTGTGGTAAACATTTTAAAATCATCTTTGTGTGATTAGTTATAAAAGCTATATTGTGGGCTGGGAAGGTGGCTTAGTGGTAGAGTGCTTGCCTTGCATGCATGAAGCCCTGGGTTTGATTCCTCAGCACCACATAAACAGAAAAAGCTGGAAGTGGCGCTGTGGCTCAAGCGGTAGAGCGCTGGCCTTGAGCTGAAGAGCTGAGGGACAGCGCCCAGGCCCAGAGTTCAGGTCCGTGACCCACCCCCCCAAAAAAAATAAAAGCTATATTGTTATATTTCTTTTTTTTTTCTGCCAGTAGTTTATTGAGATAAGAATCTCATGGACTTTCCTGCCCAGGCTGGCTTCTAGCCACAATCCTCAGATCACAGCCTCCTGAGTAGCTTTAGATCACAGGCATGAATCATTAGCTTCTGGCTGTCATATGATTTTTATTTATTTAGTGGTGCTAAGATTTGGACTCAAGGCTTCATGTTGCTAGACACTTTACTACTTAACTCATGCCTCTCCTACCACTTGGGTCATGCCTTTTTCCTATGGCTGTGTTTTTTTAAATTTTTATTCATATTTGGTTTTTGCCAGTCCTGGGTCTCAAACTAAGAGCCTGGGCACTGTCCCTTAGCTTCTTTTGTTCAAGGCTAGCACATTACTACTTGCCACAGTGCCACTTTTGGCTTTTTCTGTTTATGTGGTACTGAGGAATCCAACCTGCATGTTAGACCTTCCTAAGGCTATTTTTGAGATAGTATCTCACTTTTTTTCCTGGGCTGGGCTGACGATGGTCTTTTTTTCTTTCTGGTGCTAGTATTGGGGCTTGAACTCAGGGCCTACACAGCTGTTCCTTAGCTTTTTTGCTCCAGGCTGGTGCTCTTCCCTTTGAGCCACAACTTTCTTAGCCTCACTTTGAATTGTAATTTTTAGATCTCAGCCTCCGGAATAGCTAGAATTGCAGGCATGAGTCTCCTCACAGCCCTTTTATTTATGCCTCCTGCTGTAAGAAGAAGGATAATCACAAGCCACCATGCCCAGCTATTGGTTGAAATGGGGACTTGCTAACGTTTTGCCCCAGCTGGCCTAGTATCTGCTTTTTTAGTTGTTAGGGTTGTAGGAATGAGGCATTATACCCACATGGTTTTGGCTTTAGAAGCTTCATTTAGAAGACTTGCTAAAATTATTTTGTCCTGTATAAAACAATAAAAGTGTTTTAAAATAAATATGTAAGCAGAGTGCCAGTGGCTCATGCCTGTAATCCTCCTCAGGAGGCTGAGATCTGAGGATCACAGTTCAAAGCCAGCCGAGGCAGGAAAGTCTGAGAGAATTTTCTACAATAAACCACCAGAAAACCAGAAGTGGCAGGCTCAAGTGGTAGAGTGCTTGCCTTGAAGAGCTGAGGGACAGTGCCCAAGCCAAGAGTTCAGGCCCCATTATCGAAAGAAAACAAAACAAAAAAAACTTTACTGGGTGTTGGTGGCTCATGCTAATAATTTTAGCTACTCAAAAAAATGAGACTTGGCCTGGCCCTGGTGGCTCATGCCTGTAATCCTAGCTACTCAGGAAGCTGAGATCTGAGGATCGCAGTTCAAAGCCAGCCCAGGCAGGAGAGACCGTGAGACTCCTATCTCCAATAAACCACCAAAAAACCGGAAGTGGCGCTGTAGCTCAAGTGGTAGAGCGCTCTCCTTGAGCTGAAGAGCTGAGGGACAGTGCGCAGGCCCAGAGTTCAAGCCCCAGGACCAACTCTCCCCCCCACCCAAATAAAAAAAAAGAGAGACTTGGAAATTTAAAGCCAGTCCAGGCAGGAAAGTATGAGACTCCCAGTGGCTCACTCCTCCCAGTGGCTCACTCCTGTAATCCTCGCTACTCCAGAGGCTGAGATCTTCAAAGCCAGCTCGGGCAAGAAAAACCATAAAACTCTTATCTCCACCAGAAAACGGTAATTGACGCTGTGGTTCAAATGGTAGAGTGCTAGCCTCGAGCTGAAGAGATGAGGGACAGCGCCCAGGCCCACAGTTCAAGCCCGCGACAGACAAAGAAAGAAAAAAGAGAGACTCCCATTTCTAATATAACCAGTAAAAAAAATTAAACTGGCTGAAGTGGTAGAGTGCCAGCCTAGCAAATGAGTTGAACAATCTCAAGGCCCTGAGTTCAAACTCTAGCATCAGCAAAATAAAAAAAGTCTAATACAGTGACATGGAAGAAGTTGAAATATGGTTACTACTTACAAAGGATATTATGGAGCTTTCATTGTAAACACCTTTTGACAAACTTATCTATGTTTTAGGTGTTATCTATTTGAAAAATATGATAACACAGTATTGGCCTGATCGAGAATCAGCACCTGGGGATATAGCCCCTTATAGTATTCCAGAAGAAGATCGACATTGCATTCGAGAAAATATTGTAGAAGCCATTATTCACTCTCCTGAGCTCATCAGGTATGTATGTATGTATGTATATCTATCTGTCTGTCTTATTTAATGTGTACATGGTTGAGCAAAAATCGAAAGCAAGTAAAAAGGCTATGGTAGAAGGCACATAACATTAAAAGGTGGGGGGGCTTGGAAGTTGGCTCAGTGGTAGAGCGCTTGCTTTGCATGCCTGAGGCCCTGGGTTCCATTCCTCAGCACCACATAAGCAAAAAAAGAAAAAAGCCGGAAGTGGTGCTGTGGCTCAAGTGATAGGGCACTAGCCTTGAGCTGAAGAGCTGAGGGGCAGTGCTCAGGCCCAGAGTTCAGGCCCCACAACTGGTTAAAAAAAATTAATAAACATTAAAAGGGGGGAGGGCCAATGGGGTTGAGTATAGTTAGCAAATACTTTTATGATATATGAAAATAGAATGAAAAGTTTTGAAATTGTTTTAAGAAGGGACAATGAAGGAGAGGGTCAGTTTGATTTGACATTTTATGGCCATGTCACAGAGAATCCCCCCTTGTACAACTAATATGCTATGCTAATAAAATAGTTTTTAGGATAGGTATAGTGGCTTATCCCTGTAGTACTAGCTATTCAAGTGTGCTGAGATCTGAAGATCACTGCTCAAATCCAGGCCATGTAGAAAAGTCCCCTTGATACTCTTATCTCCAATTAACCATTCGTAAACCAGAAGTGGCACTCTGGCTCAAAGTGGTAGAGTGCTAGCCTTGAACAAGTGCTTAGGGACAAAACCCAGGCCCTGAGTTCAAGCCCTATAAGCGATAGAAAAACAAAAAAACAACAAAAAAAAAGTCTTCAAACGTTAACAGTGGTTCAAAGCAAGTATGATGTGTGTGTGTGTTGACCATAGTATTGGAAAGACTAATCTACTTATAGAGAAAGACATGAAACTGACTGAGTTAACCCCTGTGTACACTCAAAAGAATCTTAAGTTTGAGGCCATGCAGAAGGTACTTAGTAAGACTATATCAATTAAAAAAGAAAAGGCTGCCGGGGGCCAGTGGCTCATGCCTGTAATCCTAGCTACTCAGGAGGCTGAGATCTGAGGATGGTAGTTCAAAGCCAGCTTGGGCAGGAAAGTCTGTGCAACTTTTTTTTTTTTAATTATGAACATACCATACAGAGGGGTTACAATTACATGGGCAAGGTAATGAGTACATTTCTATCACTGAGCCACCTTCCCAGCCCCAATGAGTACATTTCTTATGTGAAACTCTATCTCCAATAAACCACCAGAAAACCGGAAGTCGTGCTGTAGCTCAAGTGGTAGAGTGCTAGCCTTTAGCTGAAGAACTGAGGGACAGCGCTCAGGCCCAGAGTTCAAGCCCCAAGACCAACCCAAAAAAAAAAGGCTAATAGGCTTATACCTATAATTCTAGCTACTTGAGGCTTTGAAATCTAATATCTAGGTTCAAAGGCAGTCCAGGCAGGAAAGTTGATGGGACATTTATGTCCAATTAACTACCAAAAGCCATTAGATCTGTGGCTTAAGTGGTAGAGCTTTAACCTTAATTGAAAAAGCTAAGGGACAGTGCCCAGACCCTGAATTCAAGCCCCAGTAACAACGTGTGTATGCACATACCCCAAAAAACTAAAACTATAGGGCACTTTCTCAAGTATAGGGCACTTCCAGCTCAACCCTGAACAAAGATTTGGGGCACAATAATAGACATTATGTTTAATGACTGAAAAACAGATTTACTAGTTCTCACAAGCATTTGTTTATTATATGTATAGATTTTTTTTTCCAGGAAAACTTAAGCCAACAGATACCAATATAGGGGAATGCCCTTTTGATTTATTGCCTTACTGTTTTTCCCATTTACAAAATAAGAACTTGGGTCTGGGAATATGTCTTAGTGGTAGATTGCTTGCCTAGAATGTGTGAAGCCCTGGGTTTGATTCCTTGGTACCATATAAACAGAAAAGTTGTAAGTGGTGCTATGGCTCATGTAGTCACTGCTAGCCTGGAGTTGATAAAGCTCAGGGACAGTGCTCAGGTCTTTAGTTCAAGCCCCAGGACTGGCAAGAAATAAAAAAAAAATAAAACTAAGAGCTTAAACAATGTAATGTAAACTAGTAGAACATGTTGTGATCATATGGGTGAGAATTTTTAAGAAGACAACCAAAAAAACTAGATTTAAGCTTGTTGTTGAGCTTCTTTAATCCTAGTACTGGGAAGGCAGAAGGATTACTAGTTTGAGGGTAGCGTGGGTCATGTGGCAGTTCATAGCTTCCCTGGACAATATATTGTGACTGTTTTAAAAAGCCAATGCCTAGGTGCAGTTTCATAACCAAGCATTTGCCTAGCCTGTCCCAGGCTCTGCATTGCTCAAAAAATAGAAACAAAACTACTGAATGCTATATCCTTTTTGTTTTATAGGCTTTTGATATTATAAATTCCTGTGTCCTGCCCTATCTATATTTTGCTATTTGTGTACCATCCCAACCCCATGCTCAGGATTGAATCTTGGGCCTGCTCATTCTAGGGATATAATTATTTCTGTACTTCATTCCTAGTCGTGAATACTCCTTACATGTATAGGATTGTGTGTGAGTGTAGTTATTAATGGGATTAGTTGGTTTTCTCAATGAAATTGATTTGTCTCAGCAAGAGAAAGAACACCTGCATTTATAATATTTATGTGTTTCTTTTTTTTTGTCGGTCATGGGGCTTGAACTCTGGGCCTGGGCGCTGTCCCTCAGCTCAAGGCAAGTGCTCTACCACTTGAGCTACAGCTCCACTTCTGGTTTTCTGGAGATAGGAGTCTCATGGTCTCTCCTGCCCGGGCTGGCTTTGAACCGCAATCCTCAGATCTCAGCCTCCTGAGTAGCTAGGATTACAGCGCCCAGCTTTATGTGTTTCTTTTCTATAGAAAGAGGTTATCCTAGCTGGGCGCTGGTGGCTCACGCCTGTAATCCTAGCTACTCAGGAGGCTGAGAACTGAGGATCATGGTTCAAAGCCAGCACAGGCAGGAAAATGAGTGAGACTTCAGTAAACCACCAGAAAACTGGCAGTGGCACTGTGGCTCAAGTGGTAGAGCACTTGAGCTGAAGAGCTGAGGGACAGTGCCCACGTCCAAAGTTCAAGCCAACAAAAACAAACAGAAAGAGGTCATCCTAGACTATGTGGTAGCTTTTGCTGAATGAGTTTTTTTCCCTTTTTATTTTGGTTCCTTTTCTAGGTAGGGTCTAGGTTTGTTCCTTGGCTAGCCTGGCCTGCCAACTTCCTACTTGTTCTTTCCCTTGGAGATGACAAAAATGTGCCTCTGTGCCTATTGGTGAGATATAGTCTCAACCAATGTCTTTTTGTTTGAACTTTCCTCAAAGCTTGATCTCCTCATACCTGCCTTCCAAATATCTAGGATTATATGTTTGAGCCATCATACTCATCAAATTATATGTATCTTATATTCACCCACATATCAGCTGGATTTTTTTGGGGGGTACTGGCCCTGAAGCTTGAACCCCAGTCCTGGGTGTGGTACAAGTTTTTGTGCTCAAGGTTAACACTCTTGCCACTTAAGCCACAGCTCTGCTTTTTTGGTGCTTAATTGGAGATTAAACTTTAAAAATTTCTTGCCTGTGCTGTCTTCGAACCATGAGTCTCAGATCTCAGCTGCTGAGTAGCTAAGATTACAGGTATGAGCTATTGTGCCTGACACTACATTTTAGCAGCATTTTGTCTAGATAATCTTTCTTCTTCCTTACTGTTTATTTTGTCTTTCAGGGTACAGCTTACTACTTGCATTCATCACATCATCAAACATGACTATCCAAGCCGCTGGACTGCCATTGTAGACAAGATTGGCTTTTATCTTCAGTCTGACAACAGTGCTTGTTGGCTAGGAATTCTTCTTTGCCTTTATCAGCTTGTAAAAAATTATGAGTAAGTGTTTCCCATTTCCTATGGAATTTTGGGAAGTAAGAAGAGTTGGAAAGATTGAAAGCTAATTTGGACATATAAAATTAATTTTGGCACTGTTAAGAAAATTAGTGAACTGTACTGTTAATTTGAATTTTATATTTTCTTTTTAGAAGTAGGATGTCTTACTCTAATTCTGAAATGACACTGCTTATGTCCCCTCCCCCAAACATTATCTCTTTTTCCCCATTCAAAAATCTAAGGTTGTGATTCTCAATAGGTGCTGATAGAAGTCCTTTAGATACTTTTATTTATTGTATGTTGGAGTACTTTGAACATTAGAGCTCTTTATTACTTGTCTTTTTGTGAATTTTTGCCTTAATTTGTGTTTTTGGTAAACTTTAAGAACCTCTAAGAAAAATAAATTAGAATTTCATGTGCTAATTTATCAGTTATTTTTGAGATTCATACTCAACCTATTTCATTTTTTGCATATTTTAGCAAGTTATAGCTCATGTAAGTAAATTGTATTAGAATGATTTTAGAGGAAGAGATCATTTTAGATCTGGATTTAGGGATCATTATAGAAGAAAACATTGGGAATTGAGGTAATAGAGTGGTAAGCTCAATGATGAAGGTGTTTTCCTTAAAGCATGAAAATGACGAAAATTGGTAGGTACTTAGAAGTTTGTGGGAAAAATAAGCAAGGGAAGAAGACTTAATATTACAATGATGACTTCAACTTCTAACAGCTAGACAAATCCCATTGTGTGCTCTCTAATTCTGGGATTTGTGGTTAGCCTCAATACCCTTTGTGGGTCCCATTTCGAAATAGCCGATGAACTGCTGCTGCTCTGAGCAGGCAAAAATACATCATTTACAGCATTGGTACTGGTGTTTTCTTGTGTTCCCACCAGCTACCCATCTTCCTGCTAAGGAATGTTCCAGCTGTTGCTCCAACCTCTGTCAGAGTCCCAGTTGTAGTTCTGGTAAGTGAGTGACTAAAACCAGAGAGAATAACAATAAGCTGTCAGTGTCACTAAAGAGGTTCAAATCTCTCCTGTTTTATAATCTTACCAGGAGAGAGTGTGATAGGGCTTTTTAAATAGATACAGGAGCCTAATACAATATTGGACTTCCAGTTTATTATAAGCCAGTGTTGGTGGAGCACAAGGTATTTAATATAAGGGACCTATGTGGACTGAAGCAGTTTCAGAAAATAAAAATTGGAGTTTGATGGCTTTTAGAAATAGAGATCCTCAGGAATTACTTATGTACAGAAGGAACATTTGAAGAAGAAGGTATGTCACACCACATTGAGTAATGTGAGCAAAGAAAGCAAAGTACAGAGGTGGAAATAAGACTGTTACCTGGATGATAAGGAGATCACTTCTATGCAAACACATAGAGGAATGATTTGAATGAAAATAGTAAGAAAATTGGATATTACTATAGATACTGAGGAAGTATCAGTAGATTGTTTTTTAACCTAAAAGTGATGGACTAGTTGAAGAAATTTCTATGAAGTTTGGCCTTGTGGAAGTAGAACTACATTAATTTCTTTGTGTATGTGTGTCAGTACTGGGATTTGAACTCATGACTTTACTTTCTTGCTTGATTCCACCCCCCCATCAAAGATAGCAATCTATCATTTTAGCCATACATCTATTTCCTGTATTAATTTTTTAAAAGATGTATGTGAGATACAATTTCTTAAAATAATGAAATATTGGAAATGATTTGTCAGTTTGTGTTACTAGCCTTATTAGTCATCGTTAGTATGAACATTTCCTATTCTTTCCTCTTGAGAATTTATTTTGTTTCTTATTTCACTCAGAAGAAAAAAAATCCAGATTTTAAAGTGAATCTTTACCTATTAAAAATGTACTCAGAGCTGGTTGCCAGTGGCTCAAGCCTGTAGCTATTTAGGAGGCTGAGAGCTGAGGATAGCAATTCAAAGCCAGCCTGGGCAGGAAAGTCCATGAGACTCTTACCTCCAATTAACTATCAGAAAACCTAAAGTGGTTCTGTGGCTCAAGAGGTAGAGCATTCACCTTGAGCTGAAGAGCTGAGTGAAAGTGCCCAAAACCAGGCCCAGAGTTCAAGCCCCATGCGCTGCCCCCCCACCCAAAAAAAAAAAAAGGACTCAGAAGCTAGGCTCATGTCTGTGATCCTAGCTAATCAGGAGATGGAGATCTGAGGATTGTGGTTTGAAGCCAATCTGGGTAAAAAAGTCCCTGTGAGACTCTCATTTCCAGTTAACTACTCAAAAACCAGAAGTGGTACTGTGACTCAAGTAGTAGAGCGCTAACTTTGAACACAAAGAGGCTCATGGACAGCATTCAAGTCCTACAACTGACCCCCCCCCAAAAACAAAAAAAAAGAAAGAAAAAGGAAGAAAGAAAAAGTACTCAGGTACTCAATTTTTGAGTAAAAAAGTTTTTTAGGATACCAATGAGAACTCATAACTTGCTATGAGAACTAATTTAAAGCAATTTAAATCACCTATTCCAAAAAGACAAGTGATAGCTATTATAATCATGATTTCTACAACAAGTAATCTGTATTTACAAATTGATTGTGCCTGTTGATTCCTTAATATGGAAGCTGTTACTTTGTTTCTACAGTTGTAACTTAAAAATCCAGTTATTTCCTTCCTTTTTAAATAATACAATAGACCATAATAATACTGTTAAAATGATAATAAGTAGGGTGTATACAGAAATAATTTCAATTACATATGCACTTTTTCATATATAACTTTTGGAACAGTGTAATTCAAATAAGGAATTTTTCTGATTTTAGGAAGGTAATACTCATAAAATGTTGTGTCCTATTCTGTAGCAGTATCCAATAGTTGAACATATTATATTTCTGAAACAGGTGATTATTGACTTCCAAATAGGGTAAATGAAGATATTTTAAAACATGTTGTTCATGTTTTATTGCCAGGTGAGTTATAGTATGTCTGGTTTGTGATGCTTTTAGTCATAAAATAGTTGGTGTCTGAATAAGGATGGTAATGTAGAATTAATTTTATTTATTCATTAGCATTGCTGTTTAAAAGCCAGACCATTGTACCTCCATATTTGCATAAGTATTCACAATTAGACTATGTACTGAATTGATCAGAGGAAAGAACCTAGATCCCAACTGCCAAGGTTTATACCTAGATGTGTAACTGGGAAAGATAGTTCTGCTGTTTCTCAGTTTCTTCAGCTGTAAACATGAGAATACTAATGGGGGCCATGCACATCATTGACCTTCTAGTAAATGTTGAGTAAATACATGATAATTCTGTTATTTAGGGCTTTTATTGGAGTTGCGTTTGTGGTTTTGTTCTAAAATATTCTTATTTTTTTTCTAAACTTGTTAGAAAGTACATTTGTATATAAAAGCAGGTACATATAAGCTGTAAAGTAAATTCTTACAGAATTAGTTTGTATTCCTATCCATAGGTACAAGAAACCAGAGGAAAGGAGTCCACTGGTGGCAGCAATGCAGCATTTCCTGCCAGTTCTGAAGGATCGTTTTATTCAGCTTCTTCCTGATCAGTCAGATCAGTCTGTCCTCATCCAGAAACAAATATTCAAGATCTTCTATGCTCTTGTTCAGGTATTTTTTATCTTACAAAGCAGTTTAGAGTCTGCTGGTAATTTACCATATCAAAAATTAAGAATTTCAGCATCTGAAATATAATAATTACATTTGGAGATCTAGATTAACTAGATGATTTGCTAGAAAAATGTAAGGTGGGCTGGGAATGTGGCTTAGTGGAAGAGTGCTTGCCTAACATGCATGAAACCCTGGGTACTATGCCTCAGTACCACATAAACAGAAAAAGCTGGAAGTAGCACTATGGCTCAAGTGGTAGATTGCTAGCCTTGAGCAAAAGAAGCTCAGGGACAGTGCCCATGCCCTGAGTTCAACCCACAGGACTGGCAAAGAAAGAAAAGAAAAAAAAGTTAAAAGGGAGGTTGGAAAAAAAATTACAAATCTAAACAAGCATATTTGCCCAATAAAAAATTGCAAGTTCAGCCGGGCACCGGTGGCTCACACCTGTAATCCTAGCTACTCAGGCTGAGATCTGAGGATCATGGTTCAAAGCCAGCCAGGGAGGAAAGTCTATGCAAGGCTTCTTCAGCTAACCATCACAATCAGAAATTGATCTGTGGCTCAAGTGGTAGATGGGTAGCCTTGAGGAAAAAAATGCTAGGGATGTTGGGTGCTGGTGACTCAGGCATTAATCCTAGCTACTCAGGAGGCTGAGATCTGAGGATCCAGGTTCAAAGCTGGCTCTGGCAGGAAAGTCCGTGAAACTCTTATCTCCAATAAACCACCAGAAAACTGGAAGTGGCATTGTGGCTCACTTGGTAGAGCTCTAGCCTGTAGCTGAAGAGCTGAGGGACAGTGCTCAGGCCCAGAGTTCAAGCCCCACGACTGACCAAAAAATAAAGTAAAATAAAAAATGTTAGGGATAGTCAATCTCCTGGGGCTAAGAACCTGGTGTCAGGACAAGTTTAAAAAAATCATCCAGAGCCTGCCTGGTGGCTCACGCCTATAATCCTAGCTACTCAGGAGGCTGAGATCTGAGGATTGCAGTTTAAAGCCAGTCTGAGCAGAAAAAGTCCAGGAGACTATTATCTCCAATTAAAAAAGAAAATTACTGCTGGGCGCTGGTGGCTTATGCCTGTAATCCTAGCTACTCAGGAGGCTGAGATCTGAGGGTCGCGGTTCAAAGCCAGCCCGGACAGGAGAGACCTTGAGACTCCTATCTCCAATAAACCACCAGAAAACCGGAAGTGGCGCTGTAGCTCAAGTGGTAGAGCGCTTGCCTTGAGCTGAAGAGCTGAGGGACAGTGCCCAGGCCCAGAGTTCAAGCCCCACGACTGACAAAAGAACAAAAAAAGAAAATTACTCAGAAAACCGGAAGTGGTGCTGTGGCTCAAGTGGTAGAGTGCTGGCCTTGAGCAAAAGAAGCTCTGGGACAGTGCTCAGTCTCTGAGCTGAGCCCTAGGACTGGCCAAAAATAAAAGAAAATCCAGCATAACAAAGTTGTTTTTTTCCTTTGTTTTTTGAGATTGGGATTTGATTTGTTAAGTAAACTGTTTCTTCTTTTTTCTGTCGGTCATGGGGCCTGAACTCTGGGCTTGGGCGCTGTCCCTTAGCTCTTCAGCTCTAGACTAGCACTCTACCATTTGTGTCAAAACACCACTTCCAGCTTTTTCTGCTTATGTGGTGCTAAGGAATCGAACCCACGGCCTTACGTATGCAAGGCAAGCACTCTGCCACTGAGTCACTTTCCCAGCCTCAAGTAAACTCTTCTTGAAACCCAGAGGCTCAGGACATTTTTTTGCACTAGCCTCCCATATAGCTGGAGCCACATGTAGCTAAACTTAGTACAATTTTCTTATATTTATCTTTTTTTTTTTGGTTGGTCATGGAGCTTGAACTTGGCCTGGGTGCTGTCCCTTAGCTCTTCAGCTCAAGGGAAGCGCTCTACCACTCAAGCCACAGCTCTACTTCACACTTTTTCTGTTTATGTGGTGCTGAAGAGTCGAACCCATGACCTCATGCATGCGAGGCAAGCACTCTACCACTGAGCCACCTTCCCAGCCCTGAAAATAATTTTGATAATTATAGGTTTAATCATTTCTGTGTAGTCTAACTCAGTATATCCCTCCCAAATAAAATAAAAATAAAAAATGTTGAATCTGTATTCTTAGTAGGATTGAGCTTAGAACCGATTTCCCCCCCCTCCCCCCCCCCCCCCTTTTTTTTTTGCCAGTCCTGGGGCTTGGACTCAGTTCCTGGACACTGTCCCTGAGCTTCTTTTTGTTCAAAGCTAGCACTGTACCACTTGAGCCATAGTTCCACTTTTTGGCCTTTTTTTTTGTTTATGTGGTATTGAGGAAGTAAACCCAGGGCTTCATGCATGGTAGGCAAGTACTCAACCATAAGCCACATTGCAACCAAGAACAGATTTTTCTCATCAGGTTCAGATACTGTGATTTTTATTTTATACCTTTTAACTACACAGCATTATTATTATTTTTTGGGGGGGGTCTGGTCGTGGGGCCTGAACTCTGGACCTGGGCCCTGTCCCTCAGCTCTTCAGCTCAGGGCTAGAACTGTACCACTTGAACCACAGCACCACTTTCGGCTTTTTTCTTTTTGCTCATGTGGTGCTGAGGAATCAAACCCAGGGCCTCAGGCATGCAAGGCAAGCGCTCTACCACTGAGCCACCTTCCCAGCCCCTGAAGGAAAAATTTAATTAAAGTTTTAGTGTAGCTTAGTGGCTTACTTCTGTAATCCTTGCAGTAGGACAGCAGTTCAAAGCCAGCCCTGGAAGAAAAGTCCGTGAAAGTCTTACCTTCAGCAAACTAGTCAAAAAGCTGGAAGTGGTTCAAGTGGTAACCTTGAGTAAAAGAAGCTCAGGGCCTCACCCAGGTCCTGAATTCAAGCCCCAGGACTGGCACCAAAAAATAAAAAGGATAAAATTTCTTAATTTGATATAGAGTATTAACAAAAATCTTTGATAAGTATAACCCCTTAGGGTGAAAATGAGATAATAATCTCCAGTAAATTGAGAGCAAAAATGCCTTTGCTTTTTTGGTTGGTTGTGGGCTTGAACTCTGGGTCTGTGCGCTGTGCCTCAGCTCTTCAGCTCAAGGTTAGCTCTTTACCACTTGAGCCACAGTGCTACTTCCGATTTTCTGGTGGTTTATTGGAGATGAGTCTCACATACAGCTAGGCGCCAGGGTGGCTCATGCCTGTAATTCTACCTGGACAGGAAAGTCCATGAGACTCTTATCGCCAATAAACTAGCAGAAAACTTGAAGTGGAACTTTGGCTCAAGTGATAGAGGGTCCAGGCCCAGAGTTTAAGCCCAACCAACAGCAAAAAAATAAATAAATAAATATTATAGACTTTCCTGCAGGGGCTGGCCTTGAACCTCAATCCTTTGATCTCAGCCTCCTGAGTAGCTAGGATTACAGGTGTGTGCCACCAGTGCCCAGATGCCGTGTTTTTTACTACTGTTAAGTACTCTAGACAATTAACACAACAAAATTTGCTGTATACTAATGTAGAAATGTAAGTTAACTGAAATTCTTTAGTAGTGATTTTAAACAGTAACTTTTTTTTTTTTATTTAGTATACGCTACCACTGGAACTGATAAATCAACAGAATCTGACAGAATGGGTAGAAATTTTGAAGACTGTTGTGAATAGGGATGTACCTAATGTAAGTTTCTGCATGTTTTCTGATAAAATAAGAATAATAATCATCTTCAGTTTTTAATCATTAAAAAAAATTACTATTTTTACTAGCATTTACTAATAGTGTAAGGGGGGTAGTTGTGACTGGTATACATTCCATTTGGTATGCAAAGTGACTCACTATCTCTAATCCCTTTCCTACCTTGATTATATTTCAGCAGTTTCATTGTTCTATTTTCATATATGCATATAAAGTGCTTTTACCATATTTTTCCTCTCTGTTGACCCTCACTTCCACTGGTACTTGCTTTCATCCATAACCTGTTTTATTTTCTTATGAGTAATTTATTTTTCTAGAAAATATTGTAGGAAATAATATTTTTCCTTGGTAATTCACATATGCTTATACTAAGTTGAAAATTTTGAGGAATGATTTCATATTAGAAGTTAACTACTTGTGCATATTTGCTTATCTCAAGATAATTCTGTTTTGTTTTCTTGGTTTTCCTTTTCCTTTTCCTTTTCCTTTTTTTTTTTTTGTCAGTTGTGAGACCTGATCTCTGGGCCTGGGCGCTGTCCCTCAGCTCTTCAACTGTAGACTAGCGCTCTACCACTTGACCCTCAGTCCCACTTCCGGCTTTTTCTGCTTATGTGGTGCTGAGGAATCGAACCCAGGGCCTTATGCATGCAAGGCAAGCAGTCTACCACTGAGCCACCTTCCCAGCCCTCTTGTTTTTTTTTTTTTTGTTGTTTGTTTTTTGTCCTGGGGCTTGAACCACTTCCAGTTTTCTGGTGGTTTAGTGGAGATAAGAGTCTCACAGACTTTCTTGCCCAGTCTGGCTTTGAACCATGATGCTCAGATCTCAGTCTCCTGAATAGCTAGGTTTACAGGCATGAGCTGCCAGTGCCCAGCTGTTTCTTTTAAAGGATATAATTCAGTGGCTTTTAGTACATTCAGGGTTTTGCAGTTGTGTTGCTTCTAACAATCACAATTTTTAATGTTTTCTATAGAGGTATAGATTATTTTATAAGATATTATTCTAGTATTTGTTTAAGTGCTTGAACATACTAATTAAATTCTCAAAAGTCCTTTTGTTTTTTCTTTTTGTTGTTGTTGTTGTTTGTTTGTTTGTTTTTTGGGTCCGATCATGGGGCCTAAACTCTGGGCCTGGGCACTGTCCCTCAGCTCTTCAGCTCAAGGCTAGCATTCTACCACTTGAGCCACAGCGCCACTTCTGGCTTTTTTCTTTTTGCTTATGTGGTGCTGAGGAATCAAACCCAGGACCTCAGGCATGCAAGGCAAGGGCTCTACCACTGAGCCACCTTCCCAGCCCATCCTTCTATTTTTTAACATTGTATTTTTGAAGATTGTAACTTATTCAGAGTGGTTTCATCTATTTTGATGAGACAAAAATCTTGTTTCTTCTTCTTTTTTTTTTTTAGTGCTAGAGCTAGAACCCAGGGCCTATACATGTTAAGAACAAACTCTACCACTGTGGTATATTCCTAGCTTTATTTAAAAATTTGCTCTAAGAAAATTTAAATAATCTAAAGTACTTAGAATATTTCTTCCACATCATTGATTCATGCTAATTTGGCACCAGGTTTTTATGTATACATTAAAATGAAATACAAGTTTTTTAAAGTCTGGGCTGGGAAGTTGGCTCAGTGGTAGAGCGCTTGCCTTGCATGCTTGAGGCCCTGGGTTCGATTCCTCAGCACCACGTAAACAAAAAGAAAAAAGCCGGAAGTGGTGCTGTGGCTCAAGTGGTAGAGCGCTAGCCTTGAGCTGAAGAGCTGAGGGACAGGGCCCAGGCCCAGAGTTCAGGCCCCACAACCAGACCAAAAAAAATAAATAAAAAACAAAGTCTTGTATACATATTCTGTACTTGTTACAGTATAATTTATATTCAGTAGCAGATTATAAAAGTTTAATGGCTTACTATAATGCATTTAGTATCACACTATGTAAACACTATCCCAGAATATTTATTCATGACTGGCTCTAATCCTCTGAGTCATTGTTCTCAACGTCTTTTTTT